TTTAGCTGCCATCTCAACCAAATCATATCTAGCTGTCAGACAGTAGGCTAAAACTTCTTCAACAAGTCCAAAAAGTCCCATTTCTTTAAAATAAATCTTCCTTCCTTCCTTCCTTCCTTCCTTCCTTCCTTCCTTCCTTCCTTCCTTCCTTCCTTCCTTCCTTCCTTCCCTTTTTTGGAAAACATTAGAAGTCAGCTCCTGTGGAAACAAGCACTAAGAATTTTGCCTTTCCAAAGGAACTGCTAATATAATTTTACTTTATTCAGCTGAGAAATGAGATCAGGCGGTTTGGTCACTCTATTCCAATGTTCCTTAATCTGTGCAGGTTGCTGGCTGAGGAATTCTGGGAATGGGGCCCCACAAATTTTCAAGTTGTCAAGGCTGAGAAACTCTGCTCTAGTCACTGCCAGACAGTATTGCAGACAACACTGAGTTAGGTAATCTCTATGGTATAAGAGACTACTTCTACTGTTAAAAATTAAAGTCTGCTATTCCATCTGCCCTTTCTCTCTATCCTAAGATTGTAGTTTAGAGCCATCATGGGACTGTAATTTAATGACAAAAGATGGCATGTCCTTGTATGGCTGAGAATGACTCTATCTAGATTTTTCTCACGTAGTGTAGCAGATTGTACTGATCTAAATGAAGCAGGATGACTCAGGATAAAGAGCACCCACATCTATAGGGGTTCACCCAGGGTGTGCCTTTGCAACAAGATATTGTAGGAGATGAATAGGCTGAGCCTGAGAGAGTGGCCAAACACATCATAAGTCATGAGTCCCTGCATACCCACAATAGATCTAAGTCTAGCTCATCTTGAATTCCTTTTTATCTCCTTGACCATTGGTCAGATTCTTGTAGAGATCTTAAGCTTGCAATAAATCGTTGTACTCATTTGAACTGCCTGAATCTCCTGATTTCTCAGGCACTTGACATACATCTTGTTACAGATATCTTGAGTATTCCAGGGTGGAGCACTTGAATGGTCTACAAGCTTTCAATTATTTTAGCTCAACATAAAATGGCAGCAGATCAAGTGTTCCAATTACAGGTAGTCCTCGACTTACAATCATTCTTTTAATATCCATTCAAAGATATAAGAGCATTGGAAAAAAATGGCTTACAACCAACTCTCACACTTAGAACTGTCGCAGCATCCCCATCGCCATATGCTCAAAATTTGGACATTTGGCAATGGGCATACATTTACAGTGGCTGCAGCATTCTGGATCATGCCATTTCCTTCCTAGCTGGTTTCTAATGAGTAAAGTCAATGGAGAAGCTGGAGTCACCTAACAACCACATGATTCACTTAACAATGGGGCTGGACTAGAAGACCTCCAAGGTCTAGTCCTATTCTATTCCTATTCCTATTCCTATTCCTATTCTATTCTATTCTATTCTATTCTATTCTATTCTATTCTATTCTATTCCTATTCCTATTCCTATTCCTATTTTATTCTATTCATATTTAAAACTTAAGGACTGTACAATTAATTGTACAGAGGAAAAGAAAAAGAAATGCAAAATTACATACAAATACTGTAATGGCAAAAGGGATTGTAAAAGCAGGCATGACTCATTTAACAACCACCTTGCTTAGCAACAGAAATTCTGGTCCCAATTGAGGTCATGAGTCAATATTTAACCTGTATTATCTGGATTCATATTTAAGTAAGAAGAGGCAGAGTTAATCTCCTTGACTACAAGTTTTGAGCTGAAACCATCATGAGTTTGATCCCATCATCTTTTTTTAAAGAAATTTCAGGGAACAAGATGAAAAAATCTGAAAAAAAGCAGCCAAAGTTAATACAGCTAATTACTGTTGACTGCAGTTTGGGGGATTGGCGGACACATTTGGAATCTTGATAGCCCATTGGAGAGCTTTCACAAAATGGCTGAGCTGAGTCATTTGACAAAAGATAAACAGATGAGTGCATTTTTCACCCTACCTTTTAGTCAATTTGCTCTTTACTAGCCTCTTTACATTTATTTTTTTTCCTTTGGGCAGTTAAGTCCACTTGTGAGCACAGAACTAAATACTAGCTACCTCCATTGTGGTTTTTTTTTTTTTCATTTCTATGAATATGGATAGGGTATAAATACAGCCAAGAAAAAAAAGCAATACCAGTGAGTCTGTGCTTTTATTTTTGCTGAATCAAAAATATCCAAACTCTAAAAATGAGAGGAAACAAAAAATTGGTAGTTATCAAGGAGGCAACTGAAGGTGATCATGGGTCTCATGTTGGTAACCACAATAGTGGAGAAAACTAAACTAGAGGTACAAATATCATTTCAAGATAAACAATAGATATAGAGGTATATATTGCATAAGTTTTCTGGCAGACATTTCAATCAAGGAACCACTAAGACCACTCCCACCAACACTGACAGGACAAACTACTAGGTTAAACAATGACAGCAAACACCACTACCTATTAGCACTGATGTTGTTACCTAACTGGGTAATGAAATGTCTGCAAGAAAACAACCAAGCTCATACAGTACCAAGGGTCTCACAGTTCAACCCTGACCTACAATATTCCATTAATCATTTAAATGCAATAAGGGCATATAATTTAAAGTAATTAATTCTTCTTGATAGAATACCCATGATGTCTCCAAGCCACAATATCTGCTACCCTTTGCAGATACTTCAAACCATCAGACTAAGTCTAATATCTAGCTGTCCATAACTATAGGCAAGTTCTCAATAGGTTCATTGTCCACCCTATTCCCCCAGAGATCCATTTGCTTCTGTGTTTTTGAGACTAAGTGATAGTCCACCTACTGTACCATCTGAACTATGAAATTATTTGCTCCTTGATGGGTCTACCTTCAACAGTCCCACAATATAGAGGGCAATTCATCACTGTCAAGATTTGTTTTAAGAATAAGCAATCTCTTTCCTTGATCTTTCAGTCTCTGATGACTCTGATCATGGCATCCAGCACACAAATGAGTTGCTTTATGGGGACAAGGAACCTTTAATATCTATGCCAGAAATCTGGCTTTAGCTCATAAAATCCAGATTGCACCATTAAGTGTGCCACAAGAGCAAAGCCTCATTAAAAGCATCAGAAGCAGCCATCCTCTCTTTCTTAGAGTCAGCAAATACCTTGCAAGTCTTGTTTACCCACAATTAATAACTAACCACATCTGCCCAAATTCTAACAAAGCAGAGTAGTTTTCTTAATTAAACATGGCTCTCTAATACCCAGGATACCTTGACTTATGCAATGTGAAAAAGAGGGAAATGGTCCCCCAGCTGCCTTTCTTGTACAAACTTTCTTTCTACAGAATGGCAACAGGATGGCTGGCACAGCTAATGAGATAGGGTAGTGGATACTAAACAAAAAAGAGTAGCAATGCACATTTAACTACTTTAAAAAGTGTATGTATATAAAACAGTCACAGACACACAACATACATTTATATGTGAACCTTTGACTTCAATTTTAAGGATGCAATAGGAACAAAAATCAGCTTGCTGAGAGGGACAGAAGGAATTGTTACTTCCCAACCCTATACGTCAGAGTTTTCCAAACTTGGCCACCTTAAGATGTATGAACGTCAACTCCCAGAATTCCTCAGCCAGCATGAAGGCTAGGGAATTCTGGGAGTTGAAGTTCACACATTTTTAGTTGGCCAAGTTTGGAAAACACTGTTCTAGGGACAACCCTGAGCTACAAATATTCTATTGGTACTGTTCTAGATCAATAACAAATGACAGGCTTTGGACAGGAAATTACATTTCCATTTTCTTTTCCTCATACCTAGAAACTTCTGTTCAGAAACAAGAATTGGGGCCTTTAGAGAGGGAAGATCTAAAATGAATAGTTGGGCTATAAGCCTCACCTAATGAAAGCATAAATTCGTTTATCCAAAGGAAGTGGGAAATTCAGGAACGAAAGACATTTTTATCAGTCCTGGAAAATATTAATTTTCTTCTACAGACTTTGACTATTACAGCATAATCTGGATATTCTAAATGTAGCCCCTTTAAGATGTTCTGAATAGTAGGAAACCTAATTCTCTCAACCTCAAAAGGGGTTATTTCTTTCTCTGAACATTGCCTGCAAAAGGAAGAAATGAAACTGCATCTTAATGAAATCACATCCATGAAAAGCTGAAACATGACGCAGGTAGATCCTAAATTGCCTAGAGAACAACATAGACTTCCATGGCACCCTCACCATTAAGATTTAGAATTCAGATAATTTATGTTACCACTGGAAAAGTTGAAAGCCCATTACACACACACACACACACACACACACACACACACACACACCTCCAATGTCTTGATTATGAAAAACAAATTACAAAGGGGACATTTTGTACATCAATGCTTTCAAAGGAAAGGAAACACAAATAAACATAGCTGTTTTAACCTAGAATGTTGGTAGCTGGTCAACTCTAAATTCCATCAAAACAGAAAAGCATCATAAACATAATGAGTTGGACATGTACATACTTCCATGCAATACAAAAAAAGGTTAAATAGCAATAGCACTTATATATACAATTCATAGTGCTTTACAGCCCTCTCCAAGTGGTTTACAGAGTCAGCATATTGTCACCAACAATATGGGTCCTCATTTTACCAACCTTGGAAGGATGAAAAACTGAGTCAACCTTGATCTGGTCAAGATCAAACTCCTGGCAGTGAGCAGAGTAGGTCTGCAATAGTGCATTCTAACCACTGTGCCACCATGGCTCTTATTTATTTATACACACATAATCCATGAGAGACTGTAAATTGAAGAGTATGAAAATGGGACCCAGTGTTATCTATCTGAGCAGTTTCTCCCTTCTTAATGCCTTCAAACATCTATGTGTTGGGGGCCAACTCCTCCATTCTTCTGCATACAGAGGTGAACTCCACACCAGACAAACTACACCAGAATAATAGTTCAGGACAATGACACATGAAGCCCATAAATGAACAGGCACACAACCATTGTGATTTCAGGTAAAAAGACAGTGTGTTGGCTTACCTTTGAGTTCACTACTTCCAAAGAGATATTCTGAGGCGAAGCGCTTGGCACTGCAATGCAAAGGGATGGGGGAGAAAAATGGATGAAAGTGGCAAAGCTGTAATTAGAGTAATAAAAGATAATGATAACTCTCCCCCCCCTTCCAAAGTTCCATCTATATGACTTTTTTTTCACTTTAATAATGAGAAAGCAATTGGGAGAACATTGCCAGCTGGCACCTCGAAACTTCCCCGCTGAGGTGAAAACTAAACACATCTGCACAATTTCCTCCCATTTCCAATAATCTTTAGCCACATTATTCAAAAATTAGCTTTCTGTAACTCAATTTTCCGAAAAAGCACAGATGTATAAGTTGGCTGAGCAATGTTAGTAGAACCCTGTACTGTACTGCTTTTTTTCTATACTGCTTTTTTTTCTTCTAGAGTAACTTGATAGCGAGATGAGTGTCATATAAATTTGATAAAACAATAAATAAACAGGAGACTTTTTGCTTACAGGTAGTCCTTGACTTACAACAATGCATTTAGTGACTGAAGTCACATCGACACTGAAAAAAAGTCTAATGATCATGTTTCACACTTATGACTGTTGCAGCACCCCCCATGGTCATGTGATTTACTTTCAGATGCTTGACAATTGGTTCATATTTATAATGGTTGCAGTGTCCTGGGCTCATTTGATCATCTTTTGCAACTTTCTGACAAGCAAAGTCAATGGGGAAGCCAGATTCACTTAACAACCTTAACAAGTGCTGTGATTTACTTAACAAATGTGAAAAGAAACATTATAAAATGGGACAAAACTGACTTAACAAATTTCTCACTTAGCAACAAAAATTCTGGGCTCAGTTGTGTTCAGAAGTCAAGGACTACCTGTACTGAAACTCTGCGTCTCATATTCACTCTTCTACTAAAATGGACTTAAGTAATTTTGGCTTTGGAAATTAGTTGGAGATACAGTGATTTTGTCAAATGAAGCTTACTTCTTGCATCTGAAGTGAACAATGTTGGGCAATAAGAGTACCAGGTCTCTTTAAAAAAAGGTCTGATCTCTAACCTTAAACATTTGTCTAAGTCCACTCTTGTAGGTCTTCCACAATGCCTCTGCAGTTCTGACAAAGCAGTGCTCCAAAGTGATGCAATGTTAGATGTCCTACATCAGACACGTCAAACTCAAGGCCGAGGGGCCAGATCTGGCTGGTAATGTGATTAGATCTGGCCTGCAAGCAAACTAGTAGGAGGTGGTGGTTGAGTATGTAGCAGGGGGGTGAGCTGAAGCAGCAGCAGTGCCAGAGAGGCCTGGGGGAGAGTCAGCTGGCACTGTGGGGCTGCGGAGACTTGGCAGGGACCCCAGAATCAGTGCACACAGCTCCAGCTGATGAATGCTGTGTGAAAAGGCCAGCCAGGTAATAAATGAACACATGGGTGAGAAGAGGACAGGATATTAAAGGAGGGTTTTTGGGGGGAAGGAGGAGGAGTGATGGGGGAGGGAAGGTGATAGGGATGAGAGGAGAGATATTGGCGGGGCATGCCTGAGGGAGAGAAGGGGATAGGAGAGGAGAGGATTTTGTGGGGCAAGCCTGAGGGAAAGAAGGGGACAGCAACTGTCCCTTGGAAGGCAACCGTAATGCTGATGCAGCCTTCAATGAAATTGAGTTTGACACCTCTGTCTTACATAGTAATGGGATTCATCCCAGAAGATCACCTCTTATATTGAATTAGGCTTGTTGTTTTGCACTGCAAGCATGTGTTGGTGGGGAAGAGGGGTGAATACTGACTTGACCAAATGGTCAGCTCTTTGTCAGTGTTGACAGTGTTCTACATTTGGTCCCAGTGCTTGTAGACTGCTTGTGGACTGCCCAGCCAATACTTACGATGCTAGTCTTTAGGTACCAAATTCAAACAAAGTAATACACCAAACTTTTAAATTGATGTTTTAATGGTATTATTGTTGTTTATAGATGATTATTATTTTTACTACCTCTGACTGTTTCATGGCTTCTCTTTTGCTGATGCTTCTTGATTTCTTTGTTTCGATTATTTCATTTGAAGTTTTGATTGCTGTTAATTAGTGTTTTGGAAATTTATACCTCCGCTGAAAATCAGATTAGCAGTCTACATGGAGACTCTTCCAGAGAAGAGATGCCAAGCACCAGCTTTTACAAATCAACAGAGTGTATAATTCCATTGGATAAGTAAGTCTGGAAAGAATTTGATCCTTTGTCCATATCAGTCAACACAACTTCTGACCTGCTGAAATTGAAGAACCATTTTTGTCTTGCTCTAAAAACATGGACAATCTCTGTGCATGGACCTAGAAGATCTTAAGGTCCATAGTGAGCAAGGTCAGAGGTGGAATGTTTGTTTTTATATTCCTTGGTTTGAGAGAAGATTTTTAAGCTCTTCCTCTGAAGCTCATTTTAGGACTTAAGTAAAGTTTTTCGTATATTCTTTCTCATCAACAGCAGAAAACTCACACTACAGTATTAGCACTCAGAATTATGATCAAAAATGTTCTTGGAACTGCAAAACCTGAGGGCCTCACACAGTCCTAAAATGCCCCTGCTCTTCAGGAATCTCCACATATTCCATAACCAAGTTTTGATAGACTCCATTTGATTGGAAAATCATGTGGACGAGAACAAAAACTCTGTTTCTCCTTCCAGCATGTTATCACTAAGTGAGCAAATGGCCTGGTTTGGAAAAAGGCTCCATCCTATGTTCTCACAATCTTGCTATCCTCTTGGTTTATCACTGGCTTTTATCATTATTCATTGTGCATGAAATCTCCAAACGATGAGCAAGTTGTCAAAGCCACGAATGCCAGTTGTAGAGGAAAGTATTTTATTTCATGGAATAAAGTATTTATTAGACCACATATAATTCTTTCTGTTTGTAAATTTTCACTAAGAAGAAGTAAAGCTGTTTTTGCTTTCTAATGACTTTTTCTCTCCATGGGAATTAACCATCCCCTAAAGTGAAATAGGGACCAGAGTCCATTTGGTCCCACTGTGAGTTTCTACCCTGAAGCATATTGCCTCCTCCTGATCTTCACTAATCTGATTTTCAGTAATATTGTTCAAGTGAAGACTGAGGAGGGGTTTATTATTAGACCTTAACCTAACAGGTAGACCTGTTTTGTTAAATTTCTCCACCACCCAACTCTCATTGCAAAAGCTGGTCAATATATTTGCATCTTAAACACATCCATTTGATGCCTGGAACAAATTGAAGAAAGTAATAAAAACTTAGAGGTCTTTTTCCTCAAATGGTCAGCTGTGTGGGGCACAGGAGGGGGGTATTAACTGTGGAATGGGATGACTCAAAGTGGCCAGGTGAGCGTGGCCAGGTAGGCATGGCTGGGTGGTTGTAACCAGATCACCTTTACTAGGTGGCTTTTCCTGTCTAGGTATAAAACCTTGCTTTTCTCCACATTAAATTTCATTTTGTTGGATATGGCCCATTGTTTAATTCTGTCAAGATCTTTTTGGATCCCGAGTTTGTCTTCTGGGGTGTTGTCTATTCCTGCCAGTTTAGTGTCATCTGCAAATCTGATGACTTCCTCTTCTATCCCCTCATCAAAATCATAAGTGTTGTTCTTGGTTTCCCATCTCTGACACAAGTTGACTAAAGGTAAGGAGATTCGAAAATGAAAACTTCACCTTTCCAATAGATGTTTTAGACTAGTTCATTTCTTTTGCTTTCTGGGGCAATGGTTCTGCTTTGGTTCCACTACCTTTAGTGATTGCTTTATCTTAGGAGATACTCTGAGAGCCGTGTAAAAATCCTTTTAATTCAGTATAAAATTAGACCTATTCATTTGTTCTGACAGATATCAATTATTGTATTTGAACAGCTGTCAAGGTGTCATACAATAAAGACACTGCTTAAGTGATGAAGAAAATGTTTAAGTAATTAAAATGGGAGGACAATTTTTCAAAATTTATCCAGAGGGAAAAGATATTTACTTGGACTAATTAGCTCCTCAGAATTTCATGGAAACCTTGGAAAATGAGTGATTGATTGTTGAAGAGACAATAGTACAATTAAGGACACAACTATCACACATACCTTTGGCATATATGTTTCCATAAATAAGAACAAGAAAATTAAAATTCATTATTTAGAATTTCACCAAAATCCCTTTTTGCTTTGGAATAAATTTCAAAAGCAAATTCTCTTTAAGGAAAATGAATAAAAATGATGGAAAAATATGCAAAATTGTGGTGTTATATCCTGAGTAAAATACCCAATTCAAGGTAATGGAAATTTCTTTTAAAAACTGGATATAAAATTAGATAAAGCATTATATTGGAGTGGAAATGTTGAGCGTTAATACTAAAACAGAATAATAGGCTAACAGAGTGGGAAAGGACCTTGGAGGTCATCTAGTCCATCCCCTTGCTCAAGCAGGAAACCCTATACTATTCTGTACAAATGGCTATCCAATCTCTTCTTAAAAACCTCTAGTGTTGGAGCACCCACAACTTCTGGAGACAGATCATTCCACTGATTAATTGATCTGACTGTCAGGAAATTTCTCCTTACTTCTAGGTTTGTTCTCTCCTTGATTAGTTTCCATCCATTGCCTCTTATAAAGGATGTTAAAGAAAAGGAGGTTTATCCAGATATATACTCTCTGGAAAAGGCAGTCCAAACTGATGAATGAATCACAGAGGAATTATCCTTTAGCATGTGAAGATCTCTTGTGGAACCTAGAAGCACAGGGTCCACCTCTCTCAAATGATAACATTTCATTCTCTGCAACAGATTCACTGTGACTGCAAATCTTGTAACTTTAACCAATTTAAATTAGTTACTTTATCTAATTTGCTTGTAGATAAGGTTACTACCTCGATATAGGAGCTATAAGATACTAAGCACTTGGCATCAACAAACATTCATTGATTAAAAAGTAAGATCCAGGGGATAATAGAACAGCCTCCAAATTACAAGTAATGAATTGTATCTGGTTAGGCTCATAAGAAAGTTAGGGAGGTCTATGTAGTATTGCTGAATATTAAAAAGAGAGAAGATTTACAAGGTTTTAGCAAGTTTGCTTTTCTTCCTAAAAACTCATTCCCAGTAATTAAACATTCTATTTACAAGCCAAGAACTTTAGCATTGGGCTAGATCCTCAAGATTTTTTTTTAAAAAGGAAAAGTACTGAAGACATGGAAACAGAATAAGTAAACCATAAAGTCTGAATGTCCTTTAAGGCTATCTGAAATGCTGACTGCATCCAGAACTCTTGGTTTCTAAATTTGGGCTTGCTACCTTTTTCACCACCCGGTTTGCATTACCCTACATAATGGCATGATCACCAAAAGAGAGAGGAAAGCAAAGTTAAAGCTTTTGAAGTTTCACATGGTTTTTTTTTTGTGAGATCTAATAACATTTTGTTTCTCCCTCCTTAATTCCAGGTTGCTCCTCTCTTTGGTCAGTTTCCAACCATTGTTTCTTGTCCTGCCCTTTGGTGCTTTGGAGAATAGTTTGACACCCTTTTCTTTGTGGCAGCCCCTCAAATATTGGAATACTTCTATCATGTTGCCTGTTTTTTCTTTTCTTTAAACTAGCCAAACCCAAGTCCCACAGCCATTCTTCATATGTTTTAGTCTCCAGGCTTTTGATCATTTTAGTTGATCTTCTCTGAACTTTTTCCAAGGTCTTTTGTAGTATGGTGTTTTTTGTAGTATGATAATCAAAATTGGCTGCAGTATTCCAGGTGTGGTCTTACTAAGGTTTTATAAAGTGATACTAATACTTCGCGTGATCTTGATTCTATGCCTCTATTTATACAACCCAGGATTGTATTAGCTTTTTTGGGTGCTGCTGAACATTGTTGACTCATAGTCAAGTGATCATCTACTAGGACTCCAAGATCCCTCTCACAGTTACTGTTTTTGAGCCAGGTCTCATCTAATCTGTACCTGTACCTTTGATTTTTCCTGCCTAAATATAAAACTAGGACTCCAAGATCCTTCTCACAGTTACTGTTTTTAAAAGTAGTTACATTATAACATGCTAGTAATGTAGTTACTTGTAATCTTTAGTTACTTGATTAAATCCATCAGCATTCTGCAGGAATTTTCTAATGGGAGAGGTTACAAAATTAAAAAAAAGTTTTTAGGGCAAAATTAATATGGAAATCAACAGTAAGAGTTTAGGGACATGAGGAATTGATCACATTAAATGTGCACAATTATCATATGCAATTTGCACAGTTAATATTTTTCTTGACTGAATTAATTTACAAAGTCTGGTTTCATACTTTCTGGAACTTATAGTGAAACTATAATTTCTGTGTTTGAAATTAATGTTTGAAAAAAATCTCAGTCATATATCTCTACATTGCAAAATTTTCAGAAAAGAAGAAACAGCCTACTATATGAAATAACTGGAAACATATATGTTATATATGTGACTGAATCTGGATGTTCTGCTTCGGATACCATGAAGCATCCTCCCAGAAGGTAATAAAGAAAACAGGTCATGAAGAGGATGTGTAGTATCCCAGACAATCCTGTGGACCCTGCTCATGCATCGTTTATATGCTATGTCCTGGATGGAAGGGAGGGAATTGCCAATAATCTTTTCTGCCATCCTCACCACTTTCTGCACCACTTTCCTGTCTGAAGCAGTAATGCTTCCAAATAGACAGTAATGCAATAAGACAGGATGCTCTCGATCATCCCTCTATAAAAAGTGGTAAGGACAGGGGAAGGAAGATGTATTTTTCTCATGCAACACAGAAATTGCAGGCGCTTCTCTGCCCACTTCACCAGTGTCTCACTATTGAGTGACCAAGCTAGTCTTTTTGTTAGCTGCACACCCAGAAACTTGATGCTGCTAACCACCTTCACAGGTGAATCATTAATAAACATAGGTGTGTGACTATGACTACCTTTTCTGAAATCGACAATGATCTCTTTAGTTTTTTCTACATTTAAAATTAGACTGTTTTTGTTATATCAGTTTACCAAACCCTCTACTTCCTTGTGGTAAGCACCCTCATTGTCATCTTGAATAAGGCCCACTACTGTTGTATCATCTACATACTTCACAATATGGTTGACTGCAAACCTAGCACAACAGTCATGAATCAACAGGGTGAACAATAGTGGAGAACCTGTGTTCAAGAAAACGGTGTTAGAAACATTAGTCCCACCATGGACATACTGGAGCCCATCCATAAGAAAATCAAAAATCTAGTTGCACAAAGGAGTATTAAAGCCTAAAAGGCCCAGTTTGTCTACTAGATGCTGAGGAATGATTGTATTAAATGTCAAACTGAAATCGACAAACATCATTCACACATGGTATCTTGTGTCTTTGTTGTCCACAAGCAAATTTAAGATTTTCTACTCTTTATTACCAATCCTTTGATTTCCAGTTGGGTAAAGTAAACCATCATTTGGAGGGTCACTAAAAGCACTCAACTGTATGTGTGAATATATATGTGAGAGAATCGAATGTTGAAAATAATGGAGCTAAAATATCTTGGGAAGGTAACACGAACTTGGTTTGTTTCTATCCTACTCTCTTCCTCATCCCTCTATATATTCATTAATATATATTCTGGGATTCTTGTCTAATAGTGAATTTTTTTTAATAAATCAACTGCTGATGATAGACAGACAGACAGACAGAGATTTCATTCATCAATATTCTCATATCTATATAGGATATCCTAAACTTATCTACCAAAATCCATAATTCCATAAATCTTTTGCTTTCTCTTTCTTTTTTCTCTTTGGCATATATTTAACAACAATTTTCAAAATATAACCAGGGAATAAGTGGATGATCCAATGTACCCATCAGGAAGCTAATCTACCAAGTATTTGATGATGTTCAAAAGTCGTTTCAATTGCCAACGCCTGAACATATGGTAAAGAAAGAGAGTAAGGAGAACTAAACAGCAGTATTTATGACCACGGGAATCCAGTTTGAAAATCTAATTGGAAGGCAGTCTGAGTGAATCAGCAAACCAAAATCATTCTTGGAGCCAGATCAACAAATCACTGATTTAGAAGAGTACAAGTCCAGATATTTTGTTAAATGCAACTGAGTTTCCAAACCATGCTGACCCTTGTTTCAAATTACATTAATCAGATCTGATTAATGTATAACCTAATGTTTCATAGCTCTTACTTACCATCTGAAAGGGTCCTAACTGTCAGGCCTTCAGTCGATACTCCTGGACCATAATGATTGTAAGCCAGAAAGCGGAGAGTGTATTCTGTGAATATCTTCAGACCTTCCAACTTATAGGACTGACCATTAACTTCTATGGTCTAGATGCAGAAAAGAACAAACAAACAAATAAAAATATGACAGCACAAAAATTAGAACATTGAGATAGATAGATAGATAGACAGACAGACAGACAGACAGACAGACAGACAGATAATAGAACAGAGAGAGAATATTAATTATATTTCATTTCACTATGTAAGAATTGGAAGAATGGAGTTATTCATTCCTAGGTTTTCAGAAATTTGGTCCCTCATACAATTTATATTCTAGGAGAGGATTTTAGTTTTTTTTTAAAAAAACAAACATTTTCTAGGATATATTCCTATAACTACTGTTTCTCAGGTTGCAATATATAGAATTGAGATCATGTGATATCCCCACAAGAAATGGCTGAGATTCAATTAAAATATATTAAAATTATATTTACTTAAAATACAACACCTGTTTTAGGTCTATTGAATATAAGGAAGAACCTGTAATGTATGCACACTTTTTGAAATTGTACAGTATGGTTTGCAACGGAAGAGAAGTGCATAAATATACACTGTGCAAATTAGAAACAATAGTATATACCCAAATACAATTGTCTAAGGAAATTAAGGAAAAACTTCCTAACAGTGAGGACAATTAACCAGTGGAACAGCTTGCCTTCAGAAATTGTCACTTGTCTGAGGTGGCATAGGTCAGTGGTGGTGAATCTATGGCATGTGTGCAAGAGGTGGCACTCAGAGCCCTCTCTGTGGGCACCAGCACCATTGCTCCAGCCCCACCTCCCCCCTCTCCTCATAGTAGCCCTCTCCAGAGGAGAGTTACCCCTGAGCGCGGGCCGTGCAGAGCAGGACATCCAAGTACATGGCAACTGGGCAGCAGGGACAAGACTCTACCATCACACCCCTTTGCATGCAGTTGATGTTGCGGGGCGCAGGCAGAGGGGGGGCTGCCATAGTGCTGCTGGGGCACCTGGGTGATCTGCGGCAGGCTGTGGAGGTGGTGGGTGGCCCTGTATGCAGGCGCTGGGTGCAGGGATGGAGCGGGGTGGGCAGGGGGGTGGAATGGGGGCGGGTGTAGTGCCGGGTTTTGGGCACTCGGTCTCTAAAAGCATGGGTTCTCCTGCTTGAGCAGGGGGCTGGACTAGAAGACCTTTAAGGTTCTATTCTATTCTATTCTATTCTATTCTATTCTATTCTATTCTATTCTATTCTATTCTATTCTATTCTATTCTATTCTATCCTATTCTGAAAACGGGATTGAAAATTGAATGTATTAAATGTACACAAAAACAGGTAAAATCCTATTGCACATATAATACTTTTTATATGTCAGAGGTCAGCAGCCTCACATACACTCAAATTCTAAAGACTGAAGCTTAAGAAACAGCAGTGGTAGGAATGTGTCCTAAGTAAGGGAAATTATATTTTTATGTTGCTAAATTCTTTTCCCACAAGATATGATGGACCAAATACCATTTTTCCCATACAAAATATAGAATGGAATTTATATTCAACTGGAAAAAAATGCTCAATAAAGCCAGAGAATCTCCATCTCTGGCAAAGTAACTGGAGACCCATTTGTGCTAAGGAATCTGCTTCTTCCAGCTTGAGTAATGAAACACAGAAAGAGCAATAATTACTCTCTAATGTTGTGGCACTCTCTTCTGCCAAATTTCTGTGATGTCACTGAGTGCCCATATTTTGATAATTCATAGGTTAAAGAATCACACTCCCCTCTTTGAGGGGATGAGGATGTTGATAAACCATACAAGTTAGTAAGGATTACACCTTTCATTCCATTTTTGACCATTTCAATCGCTATAAATTCCTATGTTTCCTCACCTGTTCTTTCCCAGTTGGTCCTTCTGTATAGTACAATCTGTACCCTTGCACTGGGCCATTTGCATATGCAGGTGGTTCCCATGTGATAAGAATTGAAGTAGGTGAGACAGAGACAGCCTGGAGGTTTTCTACTGGTCCAGGAACTTGCACTGTATTGGGAAAAACAAACAGGAACAGTTCAGTTATAAAGTTGAGCTGTGTGGTGACCTAATGATGAGGACACTTGCCTCCTGTTTGGAAGGTTGAGAGTTCAATCCTAGATAGCAGCAAATATTTCTCTCCAAGAAAAGATATCTGCTGAAAACTGCACAAGGTATTAGGAAGGGCATCCAGCCAGTAAATTCTCAGCTCCATACAGTCAGCCCAACTCTATCCCCAATTAAGGGTTACAGGGTCATAAAAAGGGGGTTCAGATATAAAGTTAGGAAAGTATTATTTCAACTATTTCAACTTGCCCAATCCCAATAGCATCTCTGATGACTTCAGGTTTTACTGAGAAATCTTGGACAACAGAATAAATGCTACTTGGAGAAGGATAAATACTGCTCCCATCTTCCAGGGGCAGGGAGGGTGGGCCCAAGTATTTCAGAGCAATCAATCTGATATAAATACTATTCCATTCTACACAGAAGGCTTTAACAAGGATTTAGGCAAATTGGAATATGTTCAGAGTAAGGTAATGAGGATTATCAGGAGACTACAAATTAAACTTTGTGAAGAGCGATTGAAGGAATTGGGAGTATTTAGTCTTATTAGAAGAAGACTGACAAGGGATATTATAGCACATCATGTATCTTGACTTAAAATAGCATTTGCCAAAGTACCCCAGAGCATTCTGATGAGCAACCTAATTAAATATAAGCTGAGGCTGCAAGATGGGTCTACCTCTGGCTTGAAACTTTACTGAAAGAGTGCTTGATCCTGATCGTATTGGAAAGAGGCATCAAATACTGTAGGTGCCAGAAGGTTCAGTCTCGGGATAATTATATTTTCAACAATGACTTGAGTACCTCCCTTAAAGAAGGATTCAGAAGTGTTGAAAAAGGTTCAGAACAAATTCTGTGAAGATGAATGGGGACTTCAGTCTGAATCCTATGAGGAAATTACTGGCATAGGTTAGTTTTAAGAAGAGGGGACTTTAAAAGGCTGCAGTAGCACCTTTTGCCAAGAATATCATACAAAGACCTGTTCTCTACCCTTTGAAAGGATTGGAAATGAAATAATGATTCATTATTATTATTATTATTATTATTATTATTATTATTATTATTATTATTATTATGATCAAAAGTTCACAGCTTAAAAAGCTGACAAGGAAAAACCATGCAAACAATATAATAAATAATAAATGAAACAGCCAAATAAAAGCACAGGTACATTATCAAGTGCAACTGGGGAGACAGACTGCCAGCTGGTATTTGGGATCTCCTCATTATCTGGTGACACAGTCTACAGACCAGTATTTCTCAACCTCAGCAACTTTAAGATGAGCAGCAGGGGAATTCTGGGAGATGAAGTCTGTACACATTAAAAATGATGAGGTTGGGAAACACTGCTGTAGATCATTGGGCAAATTTCTGTTGTGTAACATGTAGTAGCAGATTCTGTACCTTATCAGGAGAGAAGGAATTCATCTAGGTAGCATGAAAAGTTTACTAAAAGGGGCAGAATAAATGTATTGCATACATATAGATTCAGGGGTGTCAAACTCGCAACGTTACGTGACGTGTTGTGACATATCACAACTTTTTTTTTTCCATTGCTGGCAATGGGGTGGGTGCCGTTTCGCTATGATGCATCCAGCCCACGGGCTGGCAGTTTGACACCCTGATATAGATCATGCCAGACAAATCTTATTGCATTCTTTGACCAGGTGACAAAATTAGTGGACCAGAGGAATGCTGTGGATATAATTTACTTGGACTTCAGTAAGGCATTTGATAAAGTAGACTACAACCTACTACTTGATAAGATAGGAAAATGTGGCTTATACAGCATCAGCAACAGATGGATTCATGGCTGGCTGACCAGCCATACTCAGCGTGTGGTCCTCAGGAACCACATCTACATGGAGGGAAGTGTGTTGTGGGGTGCCCCAGGGCTCTGTTTTGGGCCCAGTGCTCTTCAACATCATCAATGAGTTGGATGAGGGGATAGATGGGGAACTCATCAAATTTGAGAGACAACACCAATCTGGCAGGAATAGCCAACACTCCAGAAGATAGGCTTAAGATACAGAAGGATCTTGACAGACTTGAACATTGGGCGCTAACTAACAAAATGAAATTCAATGGTGAAAAAAGTATGGTTCTACATTTAGGCAAGAAAAACCAAATGCACAGGTATAATATAGGTGGTGCCTTGCTCAATAGTAGTAACTGTAAGAAGGATCTTGGAGTCCTAGTGGACAATCACTTCAATATGAGCCAGCAGTGTGCTGCAGCTGCCAAAAAAAGGCAACACAGTGCTAGGTTGCATTAACAGAGGGACAGACTCAAGATCACGTGAAGTGTTAATACCACTTTACAATGCCTAGGTAAGACCACACTTGGAATACTGCATCCAGTTTTGGTTACCATATATAAAAAAGATATTAAGATTCTAGACAGAGTGCAGAAAAGAGTAACAAAGATGATTAGGATCTGGAGGTCGAAAGATATGTTTAATTGTTGCAAGAACTGGGAATGTCTAGTTTAACAAAGAGAAGGACTAAGGGTGACATGATAGTAGCCTTCCAGTATTTGAGAGGCTGGCATAAAGAATAGGAGGACAACTTACTCTCTGAAGCACCTGAGGGCAAGACCAGTAGTAATGGATGTAAAGTTACCAAGAAGAGATCAAATCTAGAGGTTTAGAGAAATTTCCTGACAGTGAGAACAATTAATCAATGGAATGGCTTGCCTTCAGAAGTTGTAAATACTCCAACACTGGAGGTTTTTAAGAAGAGATTGGATGGTCATTTGCTTGCAATGGTATAGGGTCTCCTTGGGAAGGGTTGGGCTAGAAGACCTCCAAGATCCCTTCCAACTTTGTTATTCTGTATTCTGCAATTTGATCCTATAATTCTAAATGCAGAAGCTTTTAATGGCTATTTGTGGGGGCTTTGGTGAAAGGGGTATTTTTAATGTTATTCCAGTATGAGGACCTATTAATCTCCATTAATGTTTTGCTTTCATCCATCCCTTTGAAGATGGGAGAAAATAAATCATAAACTAGATGGACAAAGAAGAAGAACCAAAGAAGTCACATCTTAATGTTCAAGTATTAATTTCAAAGACCCATTTCATATATAGCAAATCAGCCATTATTCAGCTTTTAAATGCAGAAATAGAAATTCAGAAACAGAAATTCAGTTCAGCTTTTAAATGCAGAAATAGAAATTAATAGGAAGCTGACATATGTCACTTTAAAAAAAACCCAAACCAAACAAATGGAGTTTAAAAAGTGCTTCATATTCATTTTTTTTTTCCTGTTTCATCTCCCAAACTTTGTATTTACACTTTTTTCTGTGTGGAAACATTTTCAATAAACTCATGTCTTCTTTCCATTAAGTCTCAGTTTACTGAACGTTAATGCCTAAGGCTATTTTCTTTTTCTCTTTTCATTTCCCTTAAGTTTTCTTCAATTATTGAAAAATAAAACAGACATAATACTGTTATTAACAGCAAAACAGTTGTCTTCTACATATAGTAACTGGATTATTATTTCATTTAGTGTCCTATTTCTATAATCCCATTACTCTCCTAGATTTATTGTCTTTCTAGTGCTGTGCAAAGATTTTTTTCTTTTATTTCTCTCAAACCTTTTAGTACATTAATGTACTAAATTGTGTTTCATGAAATCAACTTAACTAGTTGGGCTGCTGTTTTGTATTTATTGATTTCTGCAATTTTACAATATCATTTTACAGTATCATTAGCTGTCTTGTAATAATTCAGTGCTGAAAGATGGAATTTATTTTTTCCAAAAAGGAAAATAAATAAAGGGACATACAGCATATGTAATGACAGCCAGTTTGTACAATTTGAATTTTTGTTACAAGTAAACTGCACAATAGTTGCATGTCAGGTTCTCATTGACAGATATAGACTATTAAATCCTATATAAATTAATGACTTGTCCCAAAGAGTTAAGTATGTGTTCAAATATACATACGCAAGGATGGTATGATATGGCAGTTTATATTGTAAAATAGCTTTAAATAAATGCTTGACAGACAGAGCTAAATTTCTAATCAAAGGCAGTAGGGAGACATGAACCAATCAGTGCCATCTTAAATTTATTTTAGCTGTGTTTACATTAGTTTGTGGTGTTTTTTTAAAAAAATCTGCACAAACATTTTATGCATTTTCTGTACATTTCTCTTATTCTAGAAACTGTATAAATTTGCATATTTCTGCAAGAAATCTCCCTAAAACAATGCATTTTTGTGCAAGTGTTATTACTTTCCAGTTTGTTATGAAATTTCTAACACAGGAACATGGTTTCTCTTTACAAGCAGGATATAAGCATGTATACCAGACAGCCATTACGCTGCTGACTGCAAACATTTTCCTACACATGCTCCATCATCTGTATTCCCAGGATTTACTATTTGAATCCACAGAGAGGAATAGGAAAATGGGGGGGAGCAGGGGATGATGGTCATTTCCACTGTAGGATATTCCTGAATGGGACATCCATGTGAGGTGCAAAGAATCAAAGCCATGCATAGAATACCAATTAAGATTATTGCTGTTGCCTATACACAAGAATCTGCACAAATAACAGCACTAAATTTGGCACTAGAAAAGAGTCAATGGAATTCAAGAGGGATTGGATTTAGATTGTGGGAACATAAGGACTCTAGGCTAGTGACTTGCTTGACTCCCCTCTAGGTGCTGCCTGCTCTTTTCCTATATCTATTCTCTTTAAATGTCTCACCAAGTTTCAAGATGGCCCTACATGGAAAATGATGGGGCACATCAACATTGTACTGTATCTGAAGGGTATCTTTAAGATCTGAGACAAGTTATTCTCCGAGAATTCCTCTTTTCTGTTTTGTAGACTGATGAAGTCTTAGAAGTCATTCCTCTTTATGTTACCTACTTATGTGGCCCTGATAATGAGAAACAGCAGTCTTTTTATTTACAGCCTGAAGAATACAATT